TCGCCGTTTGCTTGGTTCGCGCGTCGTTCGTGTCTTCTGTCGGTCTCATCTCCGTGTGCTTGGTTCGTACGTTGTTCGAGTCTTCTGTTGGTGTCATCGTTTTGCGCTTGGTTCGTTTCTTGTTCGTATCTTCTGTTTTGTTCGTTTCTTCGATTTTTGATTTTTTCGGCTTTTTTTTTTGTTTGATTAAAAATCCTCTGGGATATTTCAGTTTTTCGAACGAAGTATAAATATGATTGAACTCTTCCTGAATGAATTCATCGCTGCAGATTCTTAGCGCTCTGAGAAAGAAACCGATAACTATTCCGCTTTTCGTCCTTTGACTGTGTGCTGAGTAAAAGTGCACATAATCCTCTTTGTTTGTCGGTTTTCTGTGGACTTTGAATTTGAAGCCTGAGGCTGATTTTACGATGCATGTATCTAAAAACGCCATCTTTTCTTCTTGTTCTTCTTCAACTGTAAATTGTATGTTTGGATGAACAGCATTCAGTTTGTTCAGCGTTTCAGAAATGTCAGTTTCTTTCGGAATGATTGCTAGTACGTCGTCTACGTATCTAAGCCAAGTAGAGTCGTCACCAATAATTTTGAGAAAATGCTCTTCTTCGAGTACTTCCATAAAAAGACACTCGAAGAAGAGCATTTTCTCAAAATTATTGGTGACGACTCTACTTGGCTTAGATACGTAGACGACGTACTAGCAATCATTCCGAAAGAAACTGACATTTCTGAAACGCTGAACAAACTGAATGCTGTTCATCCAAACATACAATTTACAGTTGAAGAAGAACAAGAAAAGATGGCGTTTTTAGATACATGCATCGTAAAATCAGCCTCAGGCTTCAAATTCAAAGTCCACAGAAAACCGACAAACAAAGAGGATTATGTGCACTTTTACTCAGCACACAGTCAAAGGACGAAAAGCGGAATAGTTATCGGTTTCTTTCTCAGAGCGCTAAGAATCTGCAGCGATGAATTCATTCAGGAAGAGTTCAATCATATTTATACTTCGTTCGAAAAACTGAAATATCCCAGAGGATTTTTAATCAAACAAAAAGAAAAAGCCGAAAAATCAAAAATCGAAGAAACGAACAAAACAGAAGATACGAACAAGAAACGAACCAAGCGCAAAACGATGACACCAACAGAAGACTCGAACAACGTACGAACCAAGCACACGGAGATGAGACCGACAGAAGACACGAACGACGCGCGAACCAAGCAAACGGCGACGATGCCAACAGAAGAGACGAACAACGTGCGAACAAAGCACACGAAGATGACACGAGAAGAAAAGCCAACAAAAGAAAGAGATGGATTTCGGTCCCAAATTCGAAAAATATTGATATCATAGTAAGAGCACTTGAAAAGTCAGATATCAAAGTAGCTACAGTAACAGGAAAGAAAACTCTAGATTTAGTCAAGCACCATGAAACCAAAAAAGATACCAGTGATGAAAAAAGTGTAGTTTACGAAATACCATGCAAAGGGTGCCAAAAACGTACGTTGGGGAGACGGGAAGAGGGTTGGAAGTTCGTTTGAAGGAACACAGAAGCGATGTAAAATTTCACCGAACATCAAATGCAATAGTACTGCATATAGAAAAGTATAACCACTTACCTGACTGGGACGGTACGAAGATATTAGAAAACAATATAAAGAAAGGTACAAGGAAGGTCCTGGAAGCAGCCCACATCATCACACGTGATACGTTTAACAGTAGGAGCGGATTTATCACATGGTCGTCAATGGCAGCAAAATCGGTGGTAGACCAGCAGAAGAAGAAAACACGCGGCTGATTAATTTCAAAGAATTTTTAGACGGTTACAGCGATTGTTATACTCATTTGCACAGTGATCAAGGTTCTATGAACCGAAAGCTTTGTGTGTCTTTTTGAATATATTTGAATGCATTTGTAATAATTTGGTTTATTATTTACATCATCATCCAACCTGTCATGGATACTCAGCACATTCGATAGTTATTCAATAGCCTTAATTATTAACATCACTGACAACGAAATGGAATCCTGAGACTTGGCTCGTAAGGTCAAGCCCCGGTCACAGTGAAGAGACGGTCAAATGTTGTGTTGTCTGACACACCACCGCTCGGGGAAGGGTTGTCTGTCGGTGCGGTCAACGGCGGCTGCAGGGACCGCCGAGAATATGCGTAGGTGTTGTCAGTTGTCACTGTACGGGTTTTGCGTTCGGATATGTGCAATACAAGGTCGCCGGAGTGCGCTAAGTTGATAAAGGTTGATGAATGGGGATCGGTCATCTAATCGTTCGTTCGTACCGTTCGTTCGTTCCAGTCATAAAATAGCCTCCAGACAAAAAGTACAGTAGAACAAACCGAATATATTTTACGAAAGACTGGCCGCCGTCATTAAGTAAAACTCTGGCCGGCATCAGAGGTATTCGACAGCACGCTTCACATGGCACAGGAGCGCAGCGCGCGGGAGAAAGACTATACAATATCCGCTGAAAACAACATACCCCCGGCAGCTGGCAGCTTAGTTCAAAACGTCTCTAAATCGCTCACTGAAGTCAGAACGGGATAGGGAACGGCTACCACGCAGGTTACAGGCAACAGACCGCCTTCTTGCAGCTTCGGGTCTAGTGTGTTGCTAAACAAATAGCTAATAAACATTCTACAAGGAACTACTCGGTAGCAGGTTGTCTTTAATAATGTCCGATAAGAGTATGTCAAAGCTCGGTGCGTCAGTCGGCGCGGACCACAGTTACAAAACCGTAGCAGTTAGAGCGGGCTCACGGCTACCACACAGCTATAACCTACCTATAGCTATACATAGAGCTCTGACCCGTCATGAGAGGACATTTGTACACTTGTCTGACCCGCGGCTGTGCGCCCAGCAGAGTTCCCACATTCCCCGCAAGAGTCCACCTCCCGCCTCCCTGAAAGAATCCACCGGTTCAGACCGCAACAGCCCTTCCCACACCCACAGTCCCTGAAAGCATCCACAAGTTCTGGGCATTCACAGCCGGCTGAACAACACGAGTGGCACAGCACCGCGGAGCGCGGAGACGATCTCCGATCGACAGCACAGCCGTACTAACTACACTGCGTGTGCAGGTGAGCCCGGCCGTCCACGCCCTCCTCCTTGAAGGTGCTGCAGGTGATGGAGCCGTCCTCGGTGTCCCAGCCGCTCTCGGGGAGGCGCAGGCTGCCCCGAGGACGCAGTATCCGGTCCGGCGGCGGCTGGAAGCCAGACACCTGGTCCATGCCGACGTAGAACCCGGTGACGACGTTCCCGCTGTCGAAGGAGGGCTGCGCGTCAGGCACCGCCTCGTGCACGGCGCGGAGGTTGTTGAAGACGGGCATCCGTCGGCGGTGGCCGCCGCGCGCGTTGTGGCGTTCCACCATCTCTGGGTAGCGCTCCGCCAGCCCGAGGTTGATATCAAACATGCCCCTCTGGATTGGATCCGAGAGAACCTCGAAGGCTTGCTGAACCTCGTAGAAGCGCGCCTCTGCCTCTGGAGAGTGGTTCTTGTCTGGGTGGTACAGAACGGCCAGCTTCTTGAACCTTTCTTTGATTTCTCTCTTTGTAGCCTCTCTGTCCAGGCCCATAACTTTATAGTAGTCCTTAAATGCAGCTCCAAGGCTCCTCTGGGTGAGGCTCAGTAGATAAATGCAGAGCAGACATCCAATGAAGGTATCCATTGCAACCAAGATGTCACTTGCAAAGTTCAAACTGGCAATATGCAGCCCTGAGAGCAAAAAGTACCTGTGAAGAAAGACCAATTAGTTTAGTCAATATTGGTATCATACATTCACCAGTTCTCACCTATGACACATATTTCGATTTCAATTTGAAAGGTGTCGGCCATGGGCGGTGGATCGCCAGCTACGAACAGAACACAGCACGCAGTTTTCCAGCTCCTAGAGAAAGTAGCATACATCTTACCTCACTCAACGGGGCAGACTATGAAATAAATAAACTTCCAGCCGACAGGATCTCTGGAAAACGATCACAATCAGAGCACCACCAGCGACACCCCACTCCACCACACTACTCCGAAAACAGAGCGGGAATTTCACGTGTGCGCCTGACCTCGGAAGTAAACAACGTACTGCGCATGCGTATACCAGTCACATGGACGTGGACCAATCAGCGAGCAGCATTCGGATGAATCCAGAAGTGCCCAGAAAATAAAGCGCTACCAAATTAAAACAATCCAGGATAGAATGATTGATCATATGGTGCATGCCTATATTCAGAGTTTAAAATAACGCTTCATATAATTAAATGAGGTTTAATTATCGAGCAACAGGCATGAAAGAGTGCGAGGGGTGCTGTTAGAAAATATTGCAAAGGATTTTTCTAAAGCCCTCCGCAAAATTAAAACAGCCGAAAAAGTTATAGACACCAAACGCCCCAAAGAAGCCCTTCCTATAACACCTGCTGAAAGTCAAAGCATATATGAGATAATTGATGATTTTTAAAGCAAGCTCTTGGCACTTATTTAACTTTTTAGTCCCTCTGATTTACAGCTCATGACAAATATTTTATTTAGCGGCGGCTACTTGTCAAGAAATGTAGCAGGTGCGGCATGTACGCCTCAACTTCTGGCGCTTAGTTGTGTTGGCATTGTTTTTGTTTGTTTACTTTTGTTTTGTTATTATTTTCAAATCAGTCCAACTACCTACCTCTTCTTGCCTCATTTTTTTAGAGTTCTGTGCATAAAGTAACTGATTTCGCCTACAGAAGTAGAATAACACTCATAGCAAGATTAGTAACAAGTGCGATTTATATGAGGAAATTAATATTTTGATTTGAAGCATAATTGGCATATCAGTAGGTTGATTATCAATATTGAGTCATTGATGCCACCGAAGTCGGTGTTTGCATGACCATAAAACATCAAGTGTCAACTCAATAATTCATAAGGTATGCTGAGATCCTCAGACTCATGATATTGTTTTAATCTAAGCTGAAACTCCTGCCTATTTTGTGTTGAATCTGCGCGAGCTCAACGACTACAATGTAATTGTTTGTTGCAGCTGCACGCTTGAAATCTTTTGCTATTCATTTGTATCACTTAAAATATTTGTGTTTTCAGCATCATTTTTATTATTTATGAAACCATGTAGTAGGTATCTACATGCCATAATCATATAATGCCTGGAACAGATTTGTGATGAATAGGCTGGTTGCGTGAATGGTTGTGCTGTATCTGTCAGTGCAAGGAGCAAATGTTCTGTTTAACTCTCATCACTCATGCCATTCCAAATACATATCCAGGGGACAACAATGCAGCATCTAACTTGGAAATCCATTTCAAATTGAACCAGAGTTCTGCAATCTGTCATGTTTTCAGTTTTATCAGCATGCTGCCAGTTTTCCCATGTTTGAAGGGTGTTTACTGGCCTTTCTTGGCTTTTCATTGATGAACTGAACAGACCATGTAAATTCAACAAGTGAAAAGCCAACAAATGTCAGGAAGTTGGCAGCCTGCTAATGAAAAATTAATTCTAACCAATGAATGATGCCCTAGCATCTGCAAAGAACCCTAATGGCTAGCAGGGTGTAGCCAAAGGGGGGGGGGGGGGGGGGCTAGGGTGGCTTGCCCCCTCCCTCTTGAGGGGATCTAGATTCTAGAATAATTAAATTGTTTGACTGAATTTTGGTTTTTAAAGTCACCTCCCATTTTGCCATTTTTTAGCAGCCTGATACCCCTGTGGGTTGTGCAGAACATCAAGCTGTATATCAAGGACCTTTCCAAGAACTGGCATTTTATGATTATGTTTGGGGGATGGGAGTTGGGACTTTGGACCATGAGGAGCTTGAGACAACTGCAATCTCTGATCTCATTCTCATTTCACCTCTAACCCTGAATGGAGCACCCTATGACAATTAATTATTTTGTTCCTTGAAATGGTTGTGTGCTGATCTGTAATGTGGCGACATCTATCCTTGATGCTTTGCCTTATTGTAATCTGTAGATGCCGCTTCCAGCTGAGGATTTCGCTGGACTAGATTGGGCCGCGAGTCACAACTCACATTGCAAACAACTATCATCTTATATATATGTGGTATTAATGGCTTTAACTTAGTTTTAGATGAATATTTTTGCAGTTTCTTCTAGTGAAATGAGCTCCAAGCACCAAGATCACCTTGTATGCAATCGAATATAAATCATCTACCCTTCACCTATCGACTTCAATAAAATGCAATAAATGCAATACAGTAAAACCGATAAGATGACCGGGACGTGTTCCTTGACTTATCTCAAGTTATTAATGTCGCGCTCTCACTCCTGGGATAATTTGTGTACGTCTGCATCGCCGCCGTATTTAATCAGCGTGACGTTTATGATATCGGTCCGTGATCGCGGTACCAGCGATGTCTGTCTGACCGAGCACCAGTTAGCTGTCTGAACTGTCTGACTGGCTGTCTGATTTGCTATTCTACTGGACTGTCTGAATTGTCTGCCTGTCTGAGATGTCTGACTTTACTGCCCCACTGAGGAGTTGCTCCAGACTGGCTATTGCACCCGTCACTGGGGGCTGATTTATTGAAATGTGGTACTGCTTCTGAGGAACTGTGGGGCCGGACGAGCTGAAATTTACTTTAGTAATTTAGTAATAGGGCTAACTGGACAGAAGTGCCGTATTTATTACCAGCCCGCTGTTGTTAAACTTGTCTGTGCTGCAAGGGCATCGGATGGTTCCGGAGCAAGGCTCTGCGATGTCCCTCAGGAGGAAATTAAATTGTACGGCGGGATGGAATAATCATGCTGCATCCTTTTTAGGTGGAAGTACCATGAAGGACTTTTGCAGCTCAATGCTGTTGAGATATGGACCTCAGGAACTTGGTCTTTGGCTAGGGGGTGATCATCTGACGTCTCGTTCACTTACTTCGTTTGTATCTGGTTGTTTTGCTGATGACGTTTCGCCCCGAGCAAGGAACAACTCTATCACTCCAAATACTGTAACATACTGCTTCCTTCTTTATGTCAGACCCCTCACCAACCCGCCGGCCGGACGTCTCAGCGCGCCGTGTCGCTGTCCCGTCCCGGAAACCACCAGCTGTGCCCCTCCCCTCCCCTCCCCTCCCCTCCCTATGACCGGCGCGCCGTGCGACCCCTGTCGTTTCCGACAGTCGCCGGTGTCGACGCCTCCTCCCCGTCTCCTCTGGCCGGCGTCCTGTTGTTTTCTGCCGTCGTCCCCTCCAGACTGTCGCCCCCATACCCCAGCCTCGCTCTCCCCTCACAAGGCGTGGGGAGAGGGGAGGTGTCTGTTTCTCCCCTCCCTCTCTCTCTCCCTTCCTCGGACGCTCCTCTCTCCATTTCTTCGTCCACACAGTCGTCTGTCGCTGAGTTGGTTGTTTGGTTATTTTTCAGCCACCGATTGCTGATAGGAAGATGGGAGGATAGTGATCGTGCAGCCGACGAAGGTATGCTGGGCGGTCGAATATTGCAGTTTGTTGGGACATTGGGCTATGATATAACGTGTGACGGTGAAGGAAATTGGTTCTTGTCAGGTTGACCATGACTTGTTTCGGTTGTTGTTGAGGCTCCTGAGCCTGTTTTTCGTGTTTTCACTGGAGCTACGAGCTTATTTGTTCTAGAAGGGAACCGGGATCTGACATGACACCTCGTTCATGTCTTCCTCCTCTCACTCTCAGTCGGATTCCGTTACTGTCCACTGGTCACATTCTGCACGACTGTTCGCGTCTCTCCGCTAGTTTTTGTTTGCAGTGACACATTCTACACGGCTGTAATACGACAGCGATCAATTTTTGGCGGTCAGCATTCTCCTGTGGTATTTGTGTCTCTCAAATTGAAGCCTGGATCATCATTAAGTTTCTCTGGAGACTGATTTTTACATTGTGGCCGCTTATATTTTGTTGTATTCTGTTATTCGATATTCTGTGACCATTTCATTTTTGTAGCGACAGGCCGGTGTTTCTGTCGAGTCCATATTGCTAGTGACCAGTCAGTAGTTTTGGTGGCAGCGGCAGGATTTGCGTGGACTGCAAATGGGGTGAGAGTCTGCCAGAGCCGACTGTGAGTGACGTCACTGAGTAGCCCCTCACCTTGTATGACGTCACAGCGTCCCTGGATGTATCTCATCACCTGTCGGCCGCCTGTATTGTCTCTACCGAGCGGTGACATATCATTTGACACCCTCCCAGTCCGTGTATCAGGTGTAGCTACACGTGAAACGGATAGCGAATCGGCGCGACACTCCCGTAACATGTGTCCGTGTTGCACGTGCTCCGCAGGGCCCTGTTCGTGTCTCTGTAGGGGCTAAATGAAAACAGATGCACCTGCCAGCGCTCTGATGACGGCCATTTATCACGTTCATTAAATTTAATCAGGTAGCTTGTTGAAGGATTTAGCACGCACGTTTTGCAAGGTGTTGCGCCAAAGTCGGGTCCGACTGCGATTCCGTCTCGTTTTTATCGCTGCGGTCTTCGGTCTGAGACTAAACTCGCCGTTGTCTTGTTCTTCGGCGCGTCTCTGTGTGTCGTGATCTGTCGATCACGCCAAAAATAATAGCCGTAATCCTTATCTGGTCGATTCGTGTTCCGTCCAAGGACACGGAGCACACCGCTGAGGACCGGTCAGATTCAGTGCTCGCTCAGGCGGTAAACTCAATAATATTACCATATAAACCAAATGGATCTATCAATCAGGAGTCGTGTACTACAACCATTGCAATATCTTCCTGATTGCAATGCATCCGATAAATTTAATTTTCATGTTTTGATACGGGTGACTGCGGTACGAACCGTTAAATAACTTTCTAGTTTCTACCTAGTTGCGTTATGAGCGGTGTAGGAAGTGCCTATTGAATGGAACGATCAGTGAAACTACATTGTCGCTATGAAAAAATGCCATTGGACTTCGTATTGGACCTTATCTTACCTTTATTTTGGGCTACTTTCTAGCCGCTTTGCCCTAGGCCGGTGATAGGGACTCGAAACATTTCAAAATGCCTCGATGACAATTGTTCTCACTTCTCCAGAAGCCAAACAGCCCCGCAGTCCATCTGGATTAATTGGGGTGTAATAAATACAGCTGATTGTTAGCCGGAAAGGACGGCTCGTCAAAGGGAGGGACAGATTGCGTTCCAGGTCGAACCAAGTTAGTCGGCCGTCTAGCTCTTTGGAATGGAGAGAGCGTACTTTTAAACTTGTAGGCAGTTTTCAAGGTCTCCCTCACTACCAGTAGCAAAGCCTCCTTCGCGACCAAACCTATAATTATTGGACGGGTTTCGGTACGTTTTGGTCCCCGGGCCGTTTGGAGCGGACCGAGCGGATGTTGTGGTGTGTTTACAGGCAGAGATGCGGTGACCCTGATCATTTGCGGTGGCCGTATGGTGAAAACAAGATCGCTGGGCTCTGTTTCGTCAAGACGCGCTGCTGATTCGGTCGTTTGTATTCCATCTTTCCGGCTGTTGATTTTCATATTGCTCGGTGAATGGCGAAAGTGTACTCGCTGACTGGTGATATCCGGTTGGGTGATCTCTGTATTCGACACGCTGCTTCCCGGGTTGAAGCTCTCCACCGACCGAAGATGGTTCGATTGTCGACACACGACGGACGACATGCTAACATTTCCGGACACTGGTGGTCGCGGACAGTCGCCCTTCACTTGCGCAATGTTCCTATCATCGGAATCAGACCGGGTTTGCTTCTCTGCATTCGTTTCTTGCAGGCTTTAAACTGCGCGTCGCTCACTAAAAATTCTGGCGCACCTCTGCTGGTTGTATGTTGGACGTGACGAATCGTCTGCCGGAATTAATCAGACATCCTTTTCTGGATAGTTCAACCACCCGCCGGCGCGGCCGTCTCTCCGTATTATTAGTTTGTTTCTTGTCTCCGTGCAGACGGCCGGCCGGGCGTGATGTCTGCTCGGTGAGAACGTCTGCTCTGCTCGCTATCCAGCAATTATCGGCCGCTGGCGGCGGGCACCGGCGCCCCGGCGGCGGCCGGAGCTCGGCGCGGCTCGGGCCGCCATGGGCTCCGATCACGTAGATCGTGCCCGGCACCGATCGCCGACCGCGGGACGGCACGGAACGCCGCCGGCCTCTCCGGACGGACGGAGAGAGGCCGGCGGGCGGGCGCGTCTTCGCGAATCGTTATACACTCCGGGGTGAAGCTGTGTGAGAGGGCTGCGACCCAGAGGGTGTCAGACTTTGGGTCGGGCTGCTGTCGTTTAAAGTCTGTACTGGTTTCTGCTGTTGTGTGACTGTCATGGTTATCACTTCTCTAGTCATTTTCTGTCATTCATGATCCACTGTGCAAAACACTCGTCTTATTTGTCCCTCGGTTTAGCTGCGTTGTGTTGTGTTGCTACACCATTTCTGACGCATTCAACACTTCAGCAGCGTGTTTGTTCCCCTGTTGACACTCCCCACTCCCATTACCATCCCTCCCTTCCACTCCCGACCGTCCCCGGCCAGAGCCGGCTGGCGGTCATTGGAGAGCGCGGGGCGCCAATCCCGGCGCGGTCATTACCTTTTCGGTCCGAGCACAAAGGGTGTCGGGCCGGTGCTAGGTGACGCAGCGAATCGCGCGTCCCTCCGCGTGCCAGAAACAAACACAGCTCTCCTGGCTGTCAGGTGCGTCCGTCCCGTCCCCAGTCCCCACTCCTCCACTCTAACCCTCTCCCGCTGTCCACCTGCCGTAGGCCCGCCCCACCGTACTGTGGGCTGTACGCGCCTCCCTTCCTCTCTCTCGTGTGTGTATGCGTGTGTGTCATGATCGTGTGTGTATGAGTGAGTGCGATGTCGCTGACGGCGTCCCGGCTGTGTTCCAGGACGAACGGAGCGGCTACATGGACGGAGCCGGCCTCTGAGGTGCGTCCCCCTCGGGCCGAGACGCCGCGCTCGGCGCCAGCCAATCACAACAGCGGCTGGCTGGGCGGGCGCGCGGCCCGCCGCCGCCGCCACCAGCGCCGCCAGTTGTTTGAGAAGAGGCGCCGCGGAGGGTGTGTGCTGTGCTGGATCCGGACGCGACGCAGTGTGTGTGTGCGCTCAGAGCCGAGAGGGCGGCTTAGTAAAGCGGACGGTGTTGAGAGAGGAGTGTGGTGATCAGTGGAGGAGATCGCATCCCGTGCCAACTATCTCCACGGAGTCTGCACTCGACCGGCGCCGTCCCGTCGCCGTCGGAGAGTCAACACGTGTCCGTTGCTCAGGTACGTGCCGGCGGAGCGGCGTTTTTGTCTCGGCTGCGCCGCTTGTTAGGCGCGCTGCCAGCCGCCGAGACTGAACGAGGACGGTGGCGGTGGTGCGTGCGCCCTCCGTCCGCTCCCGGGTGGGTATTTATATTGGAGGGGAGCCTGCGACACGCGTTGGAGCCGTGTCGCGGGCCGGTGTTTTTACACGGACGGAGTTCAGTGGGAGGGGAGGCCCGTGTCGCTGGTCATAGAACCGCGGCGTTCACGAGTTGTGAGGCCTTGGTTGGACTACTTTATACCAGGGATGCGGAGCCGTGGAAATTTCAGACGGCTCCGGCTCCGGCTCCGGCTCCGGAGAAAAAAATCGGCTCCGGCTCCGGCTCCGGCTCCGGGTGAAATGTTGTGGCGGCTCCGGCTCCGGCTCCGGCTCCGAGTAAAATGGTCCGGCTCCGGCGGCTCCGGCTCCGACTCAGTACATCCCCTATGCAATCAATTAAATACGGGTGGAAGAAAAATTGGATTGGTTATACGCGTTACTCTTTGCCATGACCGGCTCACCGCGTTCCCGCGCAAACGCACCTCGGAGAGAACTGGCAGAACAAAGAACTAGGAAGCGATGGCATTGGAAACGCAGTCGCCGCGAATTGGAGTTCACTGAACCATCGTAAGCTGACACCAGTCTCGGCTGCATTGGGGGTGGGAGTGGGGGGGGGGGGGGTGGGGGAGGGGAAGAGACGGTGCTGGGAGTCGCAGTCCACTGCACTGGCTTGAAAACAATGGCCGTCACCTGATGACCGGTCCTCATGCTCTGGGGATGCAGTAGACGTGGGGGGGGGGGGGGAGGAGCAGACAAGAAGTTGATTGCGTACTGTGGGATACTGGGGATATTCGGCTTTTTTCATTCACTTGATGGCCCATGACGTAAGTAAAGTACCATATGTTTTACTGCCTTGTACTGTCAAACCGAACTAGGTCAATTATTTTTTTCCTCTTCAAAAAATAAAAAGGAGCCGGAGTCGCCCCCTTTTTTGGCGGCTCCGGCTCCGGCTCCGGCTCCGGGCTATATTGTTTCACGGCTCCGGCTCCGGCTCCGGCTCCGGGCAAAATATGCCGGCTCCGGCGGCTCCGGCTCCGACTCCGGCTCCGGCTCCGCATCCCTGCTTTATACCGTTCTTTTTGAACGAGCTCATGCGGCTGAACTGGGTTAAATCACTGCGGAAATTCCAGAATTCATAGTGGTCACTGGTCGGCAGGCCCATACACGACAACACAGCTGACGTTTGAATGTTTTGTTCACTTTGTAATCACATTGTTGCACCTTACCAATCAAACTCTCGGGTTACGTAGGAGAAACAAGTGAGGCACAACTTCCCTTGAATGGTCCTTGAATGGTCCTTAGATGGGCGAAGCTCCACTACCTACCGGCCCTGTCCAGTGCCCACCTCTGTCTGCAGTGGCCAGTGGTGTGCGTCCGACGGCTGCCTGGCGCCTCTCCTCTCCCCTCCCCCTCTCCTCCCGTGTGTGTCTGTCAGGACGGCTCCGGCCGAACTGATAACGCAGGCTGCAGCCGCTGCCCGCCGGTGGTGGTGGGCGCCGCTGCCCGCTGCAGCCACTGCAGTCCACCGGCCGGTGGAGAGCGGCGGGATGGAGTGAGGGCGGCCCTGACCCGACCTGACCTCGCGGCTCGTCGGCTGTCGGCACCTCGGGTCCGTGTCTGGCTCGTACTGTACTCTAACGATGAGTGTGGAATATTTTGGGCTATGGAATCAGTGTCATGGGATTTCAAGCTGACACACAACTCCCATCGGTGTATCTCAATCTCTGATTCATTGGTAGCGTAGCAGCGGCGCTGTCTGGTCTTCTTTCGTTATCCAAGCGACAGTTACGCTGCTTTAGTCTCACTGAGAAACTCCAATGAGAACCATCATGGGTTAGCAGTGGCACCGCTATGTGCGCGGCGAACATCAATCCAAGAGACGAGAGTCGCGCTGGACGGACATATCCGGCGCGGTTCGCAGGACATGGACACCCCGGTGCAGATGTGCGTCTTAAACAGCGGTGTCAGGTGACACATCCTTTTCACAGCTCTGTCATGGCGTGATGAAAGAAAACCCGTTTTTAGTCCTGACGAGCCGACTCCAAAGAAGCCCGCTGTCCGGTTTTCTCACGGCCGTACCGTGAGAATAATAAACGTGTCACCGCGTGATGGGTCTGACGCCTAATGCTGCGATGTAATGAATGATAATGATTGGAGTGTCAAAAGAGGCAGGTCTAATTTTGGTGATGGCAAGTCTGACTCTGCACCAGCAGCCCGCAGGTGTGCGGTGCTATGCTGTACGATCTCTGTGATCTATGTCGACTCTGTGTTTCGGCCCTCAGAGCTCTGGTATTGGACGTGTTTTGTCTTCAGTGGCCCTCGGTACTGGCCCTTGGAAGTTGGAGCTCTCCTTCTCTCAGACGTAGTGCGACCTCGGCGGCCGTAGTCCGACCTCGGCGGCCTTCTGTAGTGATCGTAGTCCGACCTCGGCGGCCTTCTGTAGAGGTCGTAGCCCGACCTCGGCGGCCTTCTGTAGTGGTCCTCGCAGCCCTTTGACTCCCAGAGCGTGGTACGGCCTCAGCGGCCCCTCGTAGCGGCTCTCAGTGGCCCTCCATAGCGGCCCTCTGTCCTACCCTCTGCAGCCTGCGCCCCTCCGTCCACCGATCTCCGGCTGCGCCTCAGCACGTCGTCACCCGGCCGCCGCGCGGCGTCTCACAGCGCGGCGCCGGGTTCTGGGCCGGTGATTAGGACCGATTGCCGTCCGGCGCGCAGTGAGCGAGGTCTGTTGGACGCTGACGTCACCTGCTGTATGATGACAGGAGCACAGGGAGTCAGTGTCGGCTGCCGCCGCCGGCGCCGGCGCCGACCGGTGCCGGACGAGGCGGGAGAGACACGCGGACGATTCATCCGCGCCGCCGCCGGACCGCCGGACCGGACGGACTGAGAGGGGCACAGTGGAGTGGCACTTGACCATGAACGTCTCAAACGAGATTTATATTTCAGATGGGTGGCGTTTTCAGACACGAACTTCGTCATAAGCTAGTTTCAGCTTCCATCGAGACCCATCTTTGACTGTCTCGGTCATTTCTGTTCTTTCTTCTCCCCACACTATCTTCTGGTTTGCAGGTGTGACCTCAGCGTTTGCCATCGTGGCCTCCGCTGACTTTTTCTTAATTCGTCACGTGTCCCATTCCGACTCTCCTCTGATGAGATGACCGCGCTATCCCAACGATTGCGGGGGCGTCCGGGATTCACCCTTCTCCCTCATTCATCCCTACCCCATCCCTTGTCGGTGAATCGGCCGATTGAGCGTCATCTACCTCAAGGTGCGCGCCCGGGGTCTGAGCCAGATAATCCACCTCCCCGGCCGGCCATCGCCAGACCCAATTAGCGCATTCCGAGCTGTTGTGTGGCAGTCCTGCCAGCACATCGGCAGCCGTTCGTTCGGAAACTCAGCTGATCCGGTGGAATGCCGTCGGCGCGTCGTGGGTGGGGTGGGGTCAAAGGGAGAGGAGTGGAGTTTCGGGAGCGCTCGGAAGCGTCAGCGCGTTGTCCGTTGTCGCTGGTTGGGCGGAGGGTCACGCGGGAGGGAGGGGAGGGGGTAACTGCGTCCCGTGGAGCCATTTGTCAGGCGGGAGGGACGGCGCTGACAAGGCCAACAGCCGTGGAGACCCGCGCGGACCCGGTGTATCGCCGCGCGGCGATCAGGGGCGCACTCAGGTGCGTCCCTGGTCGGACTGGACCGCCCCGGCCAGGGACGTCCGACGGGTCTGTGATGGGACCTGTGAGCCGCCGGGCGGGACTGTGATAGGACCCGGAGACTGCGCCCTCGGCCGATGGGCGTTGGTTGTTTGTGTGCGCTCAGCCGAGTCGCGTCTGAGTCGAGACACGCTCGGTAAAGCGTTTAGCGGCACGTTTCACACCTCGCGAATGGTCTGACAGCTGGATAAATGACTTCCTCGGGCGGCCGGCTCCTCGCCGCGCCCCGAGCAGAAAGACGAGAGCCGCGCGAGGGCCGCCGAGGTTCGCTCGGCCGCGCGACTCAGCGCATTCCTCACCTCGGCTGGCCTTCGCGCGGCGCCTTCTCTCTCTCCGTCTCTCCCACGGACGGAGAGGCTTTTATGGCGGCCAATCTGTGACGCCTGTGCCGCTGACCGGTGACTGAGGCCGGCCGGGCGCAGAAGCTGACCCCAGCATGACTCTGGGCGACTGCGACCGTCACTAAGTTAGACTAGGGAGATTTTCTGGAGGCCAGAGATCATCACACCTGTCGGCGTGAATCCGTCCTACCCAATGCTGAATGCCGCTCGCCAGCGGCGGTTTTTGGTGTTGGTCATCTCTCGCCGATCAGCACCCACGGACGTGCCGCATGACCGCTCACTCGGCGGCCGTCAGAAAGCACAAATCATCGACGCGCCGCGGTCCGAGCGGCCACCTGCCGCGCGGCGTGCCGATCGGACCGCGGCGCTGCAGCGCACGGGACGGCGCGCTGCCAGTTTATGGCCGGCGTTCATCAGCATGACGAGATACACGGCGAGAGGGTGCCTGCCGGCGGCGTGACCGCCAGATGGGCTCAAGTGGCTGCGGCCGGCGCCATGCGGCCGACGCCGGCCGCGTCGGGTGAGAGACGGGCCGTGGAGGGAGAAGGGATGGCTAAAGACGGGGCCAGTGAGTTCTGAGGAGGTTTGTACTGCCTCTCGGCGCCCGGTTCGGTGGCCGATTCCGTCTTGCTGGCAGTGTTGTGACAGCGCTCAGCCGCTGGATGTGGCTCTGATCGCGGCCTGCTCCCCCGAATTCCTACAGCGGCGGCGGATATGCCAGCGCGGCGTGCGGCGGCTGTTCTGAGGCGGATGCGGCGCACCTGCCGCGCCTCAGCCGCCCGCGGCGCCCCGACACCCGCTGGGCGCCCGGGGCGCCGCTGGAGCGCCCGCCAGCCGCATATTCGTCATCGGACTTCTCCCGTGGCGGAGAGGCGGCGGAC